CCATTCTCTAGCTTTTATATTTTAAAAAAGTAGAAGTGAAGTTAAATCACTACTGGTTTATCATGTTAAAGGAGAAAAAAAAAATCAGATGAGTATTTTGAGAGTCCTTAGGAAAACATTTCCAAGGCCCAAAGTCAGACTGAAAACTCTGATGAGAATAAGGAAAGAGGGAACCCCATTAATTACAATTTGATTTATTACAAGTGTATATGTAGTTAATATTCTCATGTTACCTATATGTAACTACCTTTATGTCACTGGCTACTCATATAGTTTCTTTCACCCATTTATTAAGGTATTAGGGATATTTCCTCTCCCGTGTGTGTGGCAGGTGCTCAAGTATGGGCGAGGACACAGAGATCTCCCACTTACTATTGTGTGCCAGGATTTATAAGAGGTACAAATACAGGTGTGGGGGAAAGTGGGTGTACAGTTATTCATATGGAAAATGATGTAATAATTAAAAAATAATATAAGAATAAACTCTGTTTCACGGACTCACAGCTATGAAACTACTTTTGCCCATAAACACTGCATTTCTTTAAAGCCTCATAATAAACCTGCAAGATATCTATTAACATCCCTATTTCCATATAAGTTTACAGACTGAGGAAGCTAAGTATCCTGTCCAAGACACACAAATGGTAAGTGGAAAAGCTAGATTTCAACCTGTGTTCTCATGACAAACAGATACCCTTATAGGACAAGCAACTTGGATCAAGAAAGCTGATAAAAGTACGTATGACAGGAAGAAAGACATACAATGCTATAAACATTAGAACAAAAGTAGACAACGAAGAAGCCACTTACCCAGTATATCTTTGTGAGTGTAAAAGCGTGTCTTAAATGGCTTGTATTCATGGATCTGTTTGAAGATGTCCCCTATAGGAGCTGGTGGAACTATTTTATTACAAACAGCACAGCAAACAAAACTGGTGAGATCTGAATTTCTGATCATACTTAAATGTAAAGTTGTTTTTTACTATGTACAATTATAATACTCTTAGGAGCACAAGAAGTGGTGTTGAGAAAAGCTGGATGTTTAGAGAGGCCCAAGATTCTAGGACAATGCTAGAGGCTGGTAAGGATTAAATGTTCAGCATCATTGGGTAGTGGTATGCGCCTAACATGAAAGAATGCTGCTGAAAGCCTCTGCATGTACGGTTGGGAAGATTTAAACAGCTGCTCCCTCCTGGACACTAGCCTTAAATTGTTAACTGACTTAGCAACTGTTGCTAGGTAAGACAAGCTTTGCTCATAAAAGCAACTAGAAATGGTAAGAAGTGTAGCATGCTACAGCCACTCATTTCCCAAATACTTTCTGTATTAGTTTCTTATTGCTGCTGTAACAAATTGCTGTAACAAGTTGGTGGTTTAAAACAACATAAATTTATTCTTTGGTCAAAGAAAGTTCAAAATGAATCTTATGAGCCTAAAATTACGGTGTCAGTAGGGTTTTAGGGGAAATGTCTCCTTACCTTTTCCAGCTTCTGCAGACCACCCACATTGCTTGGGTCATGGCCTTGCATCCGATAGCCTTTTCTCCCCATTTACACGGTGACATCGCTTCTTCCTTGGATCTTCTCCCCTTCATAAGGACCTCTGTGAGTATATCAGGCCTACCCAGATAATAAAATCCTTAACTTAATCACATCTGCCAAGCCTCCTTTGCTATAGAAGATAACAGAGTCACGGGTTCAGAGATTAGGACACGGACATCTTTGGAGGTGGGTGGGGAAGGGGAGCATTATTCAGCCCACCACACTTTCTTTTAAGTGATAAAAAGAATTGATTCTTTTTAGATGAGCAAAAGAGGGAATTTAATTTCCCCCCAGGTTATCTATAACGTGGTTTTGATGCCATGGCAACAAAACTGGGAAATAGCACAGTATTTTAAAGAAAAAATTATTTTTATTAAGTCAGCACTCAGAATTACTAAGCCTGATTTTTGAAATCACATATATATACATATATATATATATATATATATGTATATGTATATGTATATGTATATGTATATGTATATGTATATGTATATATATGCGCCTAACATGCAAATTGTCCCCCCAGGAGACAATTGTTCGATCAGCAGACCAATCGCTCGCTATGATGTGCACTGATCATCAGGGGGCGGTGTGGAACAAAGGAAGGCCCAACCAGCAGCTGGAAGGAAGGCCCTGGCAGACAGCTGGAAGGCCCCGATTGGCCCTGATTGCTGGCCAGACCTAGGGATCTCTAGTAGTTAAATAATTTATTGCCCTCATTTTAAAATGTAAAGTCCGCATCCCAAGAACCCCCCAGGCGCCTGACAAACTGGGACACATTGGTCACCTATTAAAGATAAGTCTATAAACCAATAAATAATTTAACTATTTGCTTCAGGGAATTGTTGAAAACCAATTTATCGATCGAACAGCTTGCTCCTCTGGACAAATAGCGCCTCTGTCAGGACAGATTGATTCCCAGGGCAAAAAGGTCACTTCCCCCTTATCAATCAATAGTCTACTTATTAAGACTTGCTTCAAGGCTAATCTATTACCGAGTTTCGCCTAACCTCAGACAGATTCCCACATTAAAAGACCTCCTTTAACTGCTTGAACTCGTACTCCAAAATGCTGTCAATATCTTGCCCTAACCATCCCCTTCTAAGTGACATTTTCCCTTAGAGAATGAATAAGAACATCAGCACATAGCCAGTTAGTCTGTGAGGTCAATGGGAGGAAAAGGAGACATTTCTACTATTGATACTTTAAACAACTTTTTAAAAGGCAATAAAATAAAATAAAAAATGAAATAATAAAATAAAAATCAGCCAGCTACACACACAGACTGTGCTCTAACTTGTAACCATCCTGTAAAAAGTATCATAGTTAGGTACTTCTTCCTAAAATTCAATGTGATTCTACCTCACACTATTTTTCACAACCATGTGCCTCACTGAATCTATTGCTACCTTAGCTCAATCATGTAGACATCCACATGGCTCAAGGCTGTAGCCTGCGTAGTTCCTGCTAAGATAATCTCTCGATTGTTCACCTAATATCTCCTCCACCAAATATCAACTTATTTTGCTGAACATTAGAAGAATTCTAAGAGGATAATGTGATACTAAATATGTAAATTGAAAACAATTCAAGTTCATTAGTAACCAAAGTCTATAGGGAAATCATAATTATTAAGCAAAACATAGTACTTTACATTAAAAGGCATTTTGCCCTGGCCCCTGTAGCTCAATGGTCAGAGCATCAGCCCTTGCACTAAAGGGTCCATTCCTGGTCAAGGGCATGTACATGGGTTACCCGTTCCATTCCCAGCCTGGCTGGGGACGTGCAGGAGGCAACCAATGAATGTGTCTCTTTCACATTGATGTTTCTCTCTCTCTGTCCCTCTCTTTCTCCGTCATGCCCTTCTAATCTCTCCAAAGATCAATGGAAAAAATATCCTCTGTGAGGATTAAAAAAATGAAAAGGCATTTTATACCACCTAAGTGCAATTTAAACTACATATAGTGTACCACATAGAGAAACATAGCAAAAAAAAAAAAAAAAAAAAAAAAAAAAAAAAAAAAAAAAAAAAAATTTGGGCTCAGCAGCAAAGATTTAATTTAGTTGCATATAGATAACTCAATTAGCTAAGCTCTTTAATATCTTCAAATCAGACATAATTGCATTTTCATGTGTCTTTACAAGACCTCAATAAAGTTTTGGAAATTAAAAATTTACATGACAATGACAAACTCTACTAAATGAAACAAAACTTCAGAGATGAGATTACTGAGTCCTAATATTTTTACAATGATTTAGAGAATGGGATAAATGTCTAGAAATAGAACAGATCCAGAACTCTTGTGAGAAGGATTTAAATTATATCAGGTAAACCCAGGACAGAGAGGAGACCTTCTTATTTATTGAGTAGTTCTAGTTTTAAAATATCAATAACTATAAGACCAGTCTTATGTTTATCACTGTAACATTAACTTACAAAAATTAAAATAGATAATGTGGAGAGCGGCTACAGCATTGGGACAGGATCAAGCCCCAGACTGACCCACATACAAGTCTCAGCTTGGAATGCAAAGCCCTCCCAGCACAATTACAGCCAAAAGGCTATGGTTGGGATCAAGCCCCAGACTGACCCACATACAAGTCTCAGCTTGGAATGCAAAGCCCTCCCAGCACAATTACAGCCAAAAGGCTATGGTTGTAAGCTTGACCTTATCATCTGACCCTGCAGTCCTAGGTTGCTAAGGGATGTGGGATGCAGGGGCGGGTGGGGAGGGGTGCAGCAAGTGCTGCCTAAACAAGGCTTGATAAGAGTTCAGGAAAGCAGCAGATTTGAAACTCGCAAGAACACTGTAAACATCTTGCCCTTGTTTTGCTTTGTATGATCTGACTATAAAGCTCTGGCTTACAGGCTGTGTCACTGTTTCCTCATCCAGGTAATGATCCACCTGGCCCCAACTGTATTCTCTTGTGTTTTCTTTAATCCGTCACCGCCCCTCCTCAGGTTCACCACTGGCCCTGCTGGATGTGTTTCAGATAACACTTGTAGTAAAAACAACACCATACCTCATTATAACATACTTTCCCTTTTTAAAGAAAACCCCCAATTACTCTGGATTATTCTCTCATTTAAACTTGGTTTTAGTAATTGAGTGGGACTATCTTTTAAAGTAAAATAAAATTCTGGACCAAAAATAGCTAAAATGAAAAACCAAAATATATAAACCATCTGTGACTTTGTAAAAACTATTTGTCTATAACACTGACAATAACGTACAATTTACAATAATTTACAATTACTTCTTTTTCTTTACAAATATAGATTCTATGCCAGGTGGAAAATAAATATTTCCTTTGGAAATAGCAAAACAAAACTAAACCCTATTGCAAATGCACAACTCATCTTAAAATATTAAAAATACTGTGCAAATTTAACAATACAAGGTACTTTATTATACAGAACTTAATAATTAACAAAAATTACTTCCATTATCATGGTACTTTTGTAAGAGGATTTAATTTAAAAATATATTGAGTTTTCTGTGGAAAACGAATAAGATAATGGCTGCAGCTTTAAAAGAAAATTTTTACTATAGTGATTTGATTGCAACTGTACAACAAACATGATATTATGCATTTATAAAGTCTACCATTTGATGATTCCAGAGCCTTTATTTAGCTCCATCAATAGTAACCAGCAATATTAATCCCATTTAGATGTTTTCCTCCTCATATAGCTGTGTCCCTCACTGTCAATAGCTTCATAGAGGTCCTTTTTATTCTCTTGTGTTGCATGTAGATAACCAATATAAGCCACGCATAGTGAAAGCGTTATCAATCCGAAAGCCATTACCGGTTTGTTCTGTCAAAGAAAAAATTACAAACCCTCATTAATACTAAGAATTTGAGAAGACCCAAATATCTGTTGCATTTTCCTCTTGTCAAAATAAGTCTTTGTTACCACACTAGCATTCCTATGAACCCAACTCCTAATAGCTTAGAGACTGTAGAAGACTTGCTTCTCTTCTCCAGTCTTTCTTCTGCCTGTAGCTGGGACATCTCAGACCTCCACCTTCAGGAGGGTGATGTCTGGGCACGGAACAGAGGAAACAGAGGCATGGAAACAGTCCAGTGCTCAAGTTTTCAGTGTTATCTATGTGACGTAGAAAAGCTGCTTAACTTCATTTTATTAGGAGGTGAGGGGTGAAGTGTACATGCTATTCTTCTCTCCTGAGTTCATGAACAATCGGCAAAAAGCCAGGTACACCAGAAATGGCCATGTATGTGCTCTCCTCTAGGAACCTATTCTAGCACCTCAGAAATTTAGTCACGGGAACAGATAGGATGCTGTTATAACGACCTTGATTTTCTACTGGGAAATCCAAGATCCTAAGAGGCAAATCAACTAGCTTTGAATTTTAAAACAGTTTTTATTTTTATTTATTTATTTATTTATTTAAATATATTTTATTGATTTTGTACAGAGAGGAAGGGAGAGAGATAGTTAGAAACATCGATGAGAGAGTCATAGATCAGCTGCCTCTTGCACACCCCCTACTGGGGACATGCCCGCAACCAAGGTACATGCCCTTGACCGGAATCGAACCCGGTACGTTTCAGTCCCCAAGCCGACGCTCTATCCATTGAGCCAAACCCATTTTGGCTTAAAACAGTTTTTAAATGTAGGAAAGATGTTCACAACTCCATAGAAGTGTTATCTTTATTACTCAATTCAGGTGCTCCCATTTGTGTTTAACAAATGGGTCTTTCCTAGGTCAGTGTGAGTTGCTACACAAGTCTCAGTTTATATTGTTTCTGTCACCATACCTGGTGAATACTACTATTTCGAATCTTTATCCAAAGAATAAAGATCAAACTTTTCCATTTGAAAGACATCTAAGAAAGGCCACAAACTCAGAGTAGTTTAAATCTGCAATTCTTAAAATGCATTTGACAATTAAAAAACTCATTAGTTCAAAGTTTTTAAAACATTCTACCTTGATTTAATGATTTGATTGTTAAATTGACCCTTGAGTCTGAAGGCCAACACTCTATCCACTGAGCCAAATTGGTTAGGGCTGTTTTGAAAACTTTCATAAAATGTCTGCAATATGCCTTAGGTAAAAACACTATTAACAGAAGCTGGAATTGTCCATAATAATGATAAGATTTTTTTCATTTTGTTCTGTTTCATTGGAAAGTCTAATTTACTTAATAGAACCTGATAAAACATTAAAAATGTCCTTCAAATTAATACAGCTATTAAAATTTCAAGTAGATCCTTGAAAATACAATCATTTTCCATTAAAATTCTCAAATGTCCTTAAAACAATGAATTTTAAATGTGTATTTAGTGAAATAGCATTTAAGATTTTCCTTCCAACTGCATTTATTCAAAGAGATCTTAATAATCAACACAAAATGTCCATGATCAAATTAAATGTCACAGGAAAAGAAGAGTTTCTATTTATGACAGCCTCGTTAAATTAAACATAAAGTCTTATCCCGGTGTATCTTACCGGTTTAATGAAGAGCTCCGGGTTCACAGCTCGAAATAAAGTTGTCGTCCGGACCCCTCTGAGCCCAGGGTTTCGGAAGTCTTTCTCTTTGGGTGGCTCCTTTTTCACGGCTGGAGGCTCAGGTGCTGAAGACATCTTGACTAATGATGATTTATTACCTAAAGATAATACAAGAGACTTTTTCCATTTGTGATTTTTTTTAATAATGCCTTTTAAAACGCTAATTTTTTAAAAATTTCAGCCCAAATATATGCCAAAAGTGACTGTCAGTTATTTTATTACTTTGTAAAACGCATGCTTTGTCAATGGTGCTTTAAGTTTTGTTTGACAAAATGGTTATTTTCTTTTTCATCGCTCAGAAGAAACCAGTGAGCTGAGCAAAAGCTGTTTCTGACAGAAGCCTGGAGAAGTATGTGCTGGTCTGAGTCGCAATGTGTTTTGCTATCTGAAGGAGTACTAGGCTAGGAGTGGCCATCGGTTAGCTACAATCTTCTCTATCTCCTTCCACTTCCACTCTTTCTCGCCTTCCACAGCGCTCTCAGGACACCAATCGGAGAGAAAACTAGCATTCTTTTGCTCATTTTCTCCTACAGCTACCCGGTCACACTTTCCCTCAGGCTCCTCCCCCTCTCCACTGGCCGAAGCAAGCACTAGCACTAAGCAGTAAGGGTAAGTAGCTGTTTGTCCTCACTCCCTCTTTGCCTATAGCTACCCTGGGAACACTCCTGGGCTTTGTTTATACAAGTATTCTTTTTTAAAAATATATTTTATTGATATTTTACAGAGAGGAAGGGAGGAGAGAGAGAGTTAGAAACATCAATGAGAGAGAAACATCAATCAGCTGCACACCCCCTACTAGTAATGTGCCCACAACCAAGGTACATGCCCTTGACAGGAATCAAACCTGGGACCTTTCAGTTCACAGGCCAACAATCTATCCACTGTGCCAAACTGGTTAGTATTCTTTAAGACTTCTATTTTATAAACTTTACTAGAGGCCTGATGCACAAATTCGTGTCAGGCCGAGGGAGGGAGGAGAGAGACGCAGGAGGCTGGCTGGCCCCACCTCTGATTGGGGTGGGAGGGGCCAATCGGGGTAGGGCTGGTTGGAGGGAGGGGCTGCAGGCAGTTGGCTGGCTGGCCCCACCCTTGGTGGAGCTCCCAGTAGAGGGGGCAATTTGCATATTAGCTTTTTATTATAAAGGATAAAAAAAATATTCTTGCAACTTTATTAGTTTTAGCAGTTGTTTTTTTTTAAAAAAACATCTTTGCTACAGTAGTCACTAAATATTGATCTATCCCACTTAATTGGATTAACACCTCATCAGGAACATCGGCCTAAAGGGAAAGGACAAATGATAGTCAACACTTTCTACACTTGCAAGGACTTCTGAAATGTTCACTGTAGGTGGTTCCATCACGTGTTCCCTTGGATGTTATGGCTATCATTGTCATCAGACTCCCATCATCACACTTTCCGGTTCCATCCTGACGTTAGTCAGCACTCCTGCAGCAATTGCAGGATTTGCTAAGTCTTTGGAAATAGTTAAATTGATACCTGCAAACACAGTCTTCAAAATCGAACTGATTTGGGAGACCAGCGACTAGCAACTGAGTACCAGGCTAGTTCAAATACCACATCTGGTTTTTGGTCTTCTTCCAATGTAACCTTAGGGGATTCCTCAGGAATCATGCCTGTTTTCTGCAAACATTTCACTACCGTGGATGGCTCTACCCACCACTGGGTCTCAGCAATCACGTCAATGGCTTGCTTTGTTTATATTCTGTTTTCCCTTCATCATTTAAATTTAGAGTTGTTTCTGCAGTGAGCTCTCACTGTACAAATTATAACCTAATCAGATGGCTGCACAATTCAGTGGGAAAACTCAACACGTGCATGATCCAAGCAGAGGAGAATGTTGTGGGCAGAGCAACTACACCAGCGAGAGGATATTGCAATTTGCTTCTTTCGTTCTCTTGCCAACCTTCCTCCGCCATTCATTAAAAATTTAGAGTTGCCTATTAGCTTGGTAATCACAGAGGAGTTAAGTGAACATTTCTGAAGCCCCAAGGGTTTACTGACTTGCCAATGACAAGTGGTCTCATCTTTTCGGTGTAGGATGCATTTCGGAAGAACAGAGCAATCAACCTGTTTACCTCCTTTTGCAAAGTCCACTTAGGGCATGAAGTATATGAGGTAACAACTCGTAAATTTCATCAGCATTTAAAACATCACTCAAGCTGTCACCGGTAATTGCTTTTTTAAAAAAAATTCCTTCTGCTTGTGAGTTACTAAATTTCTCTACTGGAACAGTGTTTTCTTCACCACCTACAACTTCTTAAAGGACTCTCTAACATGCCTACAATTTCTTCAGCCAGTTGCTTGAACCTCATCATGCCCAAGGTTGGCAAAAAATCCAATGCTTTCTGCTGAACAAATGGTCCACTTACACGCCCAACTCTTGTACAAACCTGTCAATACCATACAAAAACAACTACAAAAGGCACTTCAAATTCAATTCTACTCTAGTCCCAGAATACCTTTAACTTCCAATTCAGTTTTGGCTCAATATTTCAAAAATGTAGGAGTGATGTTAAATTCCTCCGTTACTTCTTTCTTGTGGCAACCATGTATTGCTTCTGTTGCTTTCATTTTCTCCTATGAAATCTGCTGGCATTTCACCTTTCCCTCTTAGCTATGGAGGAGGATAAACGGCATGTACAAATGTTTTTTGAATTTAAGTCAAAATGTTGGTCACCTGGTGGCTTAGGCTAGGTGCCAGTGATATTTCTACTTATACTAATGATGTGTTTGAATGTAACGTGGGAAGAGAAAATTCAGAAAAAAATCATTAAAGTGGAAACAGTATTACAGTCTGTAAATAGACCCTGCCTATTAGAAATGTAAAGCAAGAAACAGCATGATAGCCATGTTGTTGGGACTGGATCCCAGTCTCAGAGTACACCACTAATTGAAATTGGGCATTATATAAAAATCTAACAAGGCCTAAAAAAGCAAATATACAAAGGTGAAAGCCATGCTTAGCAGAAACTGACAAAAGCAGCATTTCCCTTTAATTACTGAGAACTGGTTATGTATAATTAAAACAAAGCTACCTGGTTAAAATTGTTTACTGGGAAGAAAAACAAGGTAAAGGGAGAGGTGGGTACAGGGAGCACATACTGTAGAGCATAACAGGTGTCTGTGTTTGAGTAAGTCTCCCCTCTGGGCCTCAGTTTCTCCTTTATAAAAGGGGTAATAGGAACCACTGCGTAGAATTACCGTGTGCATTAAACGAGAGAACATTTCTAAAAGGATTATGTTCAATATATATGGTAGCTCCGGTCATCCTCACCAACATACCCAATAAATGGTAGGCAGCCACTGTTATCCTGACCTTCTGGTCCAATCTCCTTTTTTAAACAAAGAGAAACCTAAGCCCAAAGACACACTGCCGTTGGCTACGGGAGGAGGAGATGCTCTGGTCTCTCAATCTGCCCACCCCTATGCCACAACCCTCTTTACTCCTAAATCAATGAGCCTGGGCATTTATGTTATCACAAGAGATAAGAAACATAAACTTGTAATCACTTAAATTTTTTTAAAAATTGATTCTTTATTGTTTCTAATGTAAAAAAAAAATTACTACGTAGTAAGAAGCATCTTTCCATCTCTTGGGTTTACTGTACCTGAAGTAAGGAGGGTTTGACAGGGGCTGTTGCGGGCCATCTGAGAGCTATTTGGGTGCACTCCCCTCCCTTATGCTGTGGTCCCTACGCTGCAGCTGGCTCAAAAGGCAGGTGCATCCCAAGCCTCAGAAAAAGAAACTGCACTCAGCTGAGCCCAGGCACTGCCTTGCAGGGGAGCTCAGGGCTGTGAACAGCTACCAAAGGAGGCACCGCTGGTGAAAACAAGTACAAAACCATTTACCCCAAACCAGTGTTTCCCAAACTTCTCTCATAATGATAATCACCTGGTGGAGTTGTTAAAATAAAGATTCCTGAATCCCAACTAAGAAGTGCTCAACTAGAATTTTTGGGAACATATAGGTAAAATTTTTGGGAACATATACTTAGTTAAGTATACAATTTTACCTATATGTTCCCAAAAATTCTAGTTTAGCACTAAGAGCACTAAGTTAAGTATACAATTTTACCTATATGTTCCCAAAAATTCTAGTTTAGCACCGCTTAGTTGGGATTCAGGAATCTGTAACAACTCCACCAGGTGCTTCTCATCACGAGGGAAGTTCGGGAAACACTGCCCTAAACAGTCTGGTGAGCTAGTGCGGCACCAAGACACTGCCCAGCAAACGGGAGGGTCTCTCCATCCGGGTGGAGGGTCCAGGATGCGTCAAGGACCATGGGCACCGCGGGGTCATTAACGTCCGAGACCCGACTCCGGGCACCCGAGTGGCGAGGACCCCAGGTGCTGGGCAGAGCCCCGCGCACCTGGGAGTGAAGCCCGCGGGCGGCAGGGCCCGCGCAGGCCGGGAACGAGCGTGCGGCGGCGCGACCGCCCAGCCCCGCCACTCACCTGCTGCAGAGGCCTCCCCTCTCGGGCCCGCGACGCTCCGCCTCGTCTCCGCCTGCGGGAAAGAGCGTCCTACGCGCCCGCCGGCTCTGCCCCACAGCGACGCCTACCGTGCGGAGGCTGCGGCGCGGGCGCTGCAGGCACCAGGCTCCAGTGACTCCGGGGCCTTGTGCCCGCCCCAGAGGATGGGCTGGCTGGAGTTTGCAAGGGGTGTGTTTTGATTGCTCACATTTTTACCGTTCGCTTTCAGCCTCCCAGGTTCAAATAACTTTCCAACTGCGTGTGTGTTTTGTGAAAATAAAAGAAGGCATGATCTAGAATTGTATAACTTTATATAATGGAAGTAGAAAGCATTATGATTTGGGAAAGACCATACCTGATCTCTTCCTACCCACATTATTCACATGTACAGTTCATACTCTGCCATTCTATTAGTGCCCTGAGATGCCAAGAAGATGTGTGTAGCGGTGGTTATCATAAGAATAGCTATGAATCCCTGTTTGTAAATACTACTTTCCTGATTTAAATGTGTGGGGATACAAGTTATAGTAAAACAAACACAATAGAATACCAGGTGCCCAGATCTTGACATGGATTTATGTAAAGCTTTGGTAAGTGGACTTTGAATTTGAAAGTTATTCTCTCAAGCCAAATTATCTTTCTATTTGATTAGAGGTTTCATTTTTTTAAAGTTCATTGATATCTGGCACTGTTAGGCAATCTTCTGACAAAATAAGTTAAACTTGAATTAAAAACTGGTTTGTGACATGAAAAGGTGATAAACATTATTAATCATGAGGGAAATGCAATTCAAAACCACAGTGCGATACCACCTCACACCTGGTACAGTGGTTATTATAAAAAAGACAGGGTCTTTGGCAAAGCAAACATTTTGAGCTTAGATGAGGTCCACATTACCCACTTTTCTCTACTTTTGGCTTGTGCTTTTGTATCATTTCTAAGAACTCTTTGCCTGCCCCTAGTTTTCAAAGAGATTTTCCTGTGTTCTTTTCAAA